TTTGAGTCAGGGTCTCACTATGTAGTTGAGACTGACCTGGAACTCACTGTGCCCCCCAGGCTGGTCTCGAACTCACAGCGATCCTCCTGCCTCAGCCTCCCAAGTGCTGAGATTACAGGCGTGCGCCACCACGCCTGGCATCATCCAGCTTTTTGATGATAGTTTGTATTTGTTAAAACTGAAATTTTTCTCTATACTTCATTAGTAAAATCTTAGAATATTGATCCAAAATATTTGAAAAATTGCTGGTGAATATTTTTCACCAGTTTGGTGGTCTCAGTCTTTTCAGAACCTGAGTGTGTGCACTCCTCTCACTGGATTGAGATTTGATGCCTTGCTTATAGATTCTGGAAGATGCGCAATTTGCCTAAGTAGCATTGGAATCAATAAGAGTCTGCAGATAGTAGCTGTGAGCTGTCACTTATGCTCCTGTGCTGACACTGCTCTGAAGCCATCACACACGAGCTATCTGTGCTAGCTTCTGTTTGCGTTTCATCTGCTGTCCGGCCTAACCTCTCCACTGTTGAATTTGTGTCCTGCAGCTGGGGACGTTCTCAGTGGCCAGCGAGGAAGTTCTGAAGAACAGAGCCATAAAGAAAGCCAAGCGTAGAAATGTTGGATTTGAAGTGAGTGCTTTCTTTCAGCTTTTGGTATGAAATACCAATTTGATTCCTGAGTTACAGAGCGTTTTCACCTCTGGGAGCAATCATAGCAACAAATGGCTTTTTAGAAACAATTACTCCTTGGGTAGATCATGGGAGATAGTAGAAGAAAGTAATAAATAAGAAGTCGGTGCTGTAAAGAGAGTTTATCCCCTTGAAAAAAATAAGGTAACCATGAACGAATTCAAGTTGAGTGACAATATGGAGAGGAAAAAGAAGTATAGCAATGCAGAAGGAACAAGTGGTATCACAGGGAAATCTATTTCCAGAACCTTTTCTATTTCTGGGATAGAGGAAAAGCCCACTACACTAGGAGCATTACGGGTGTCCATTATCTTTTTAGTACCTTAGTTTACTATGTGAAGATGCTTCATTCCGTTGCCCGGAAGGATGACACGTGAGTTCTAACTCTTAAACTGAAGTCATGTAAGTATTCAGCAGACACCCCATATTTAAGAACTCTTCCAGCTGGGCACAGTGGCACATGTGTGTGATCCCAGCACAATGGGAGGCTGAGGCAGGAGGATCACAAGTTCCTCTTCCACCTGGACAACTTTGTAAGACCATGTGTCAAAATAAGGCTGAGGATATGGCTCAGTGCGAAATGGTGGGTTCGGTCCCCAGTACTGCCCCCCTATCCCAAAAAGAACTGATCCCCAGATACACCCCAGGCTTTGCGTGTGACCTGGACACGCTGCTTTGAACATGCTGGGTAATGGTTTCAGTACTCAGTCACATATTGTGCAGTTTTCACGGTTTTTTTAAATCAAGAAGAACTGTTGTATTCCCTTTTTCAAATAGAAAGGATGGTATCGATTCTCACTGAGAATCAGTGAAAAAGATTGATTACATTGTCAAAGTTTAGGTCTTTCAGTCTGAAAATGTGTAAAAGTGTAAGGGCTCTCAGGAAACAGTAAACTTTAACAAGGGTTGGGTTACCATGGTGAATCAGTTACTGAAAGCATCTCATAAGTGAGGTTGTGTGTTAAGAGGATGTAATTTAAATCACAAAATAAATTTGTGTTCATGGAGCACACATTTGCAGTGTAGAAACAGGCATACAGCACGTGATTCTCAGGTGGTTGGCATGGTCCTTGTGCATCTGCAGAACACAGTGACTTTCGGAAGAGATACACAGCTTTCTCTGCTCTGTCCCTCCCTTCTCTGCGTCACTTCCTGGAGATGGAAAAGCTCTTTTCTTGTGGAACTTCCGGTTACCTGGGTGGCCACAACCAGGCAGAGACACAGCAAGTGAATCTTGGGAGGGAGAGTTGGGGCAGAGGTTCTCAGTCGTACCTAGACCTCAGGACTTATGTTCTTAAAAATCAGTTGTTTTTGTTTTTTGGGTTGTTTTATTTTGTTTGGTGCCGGGGATTGAACTCAGGACCTTGTGCAGGTGACGGCACCACAGAGCTAAATCCCAGGCCCTTAAAATTAGTTGTTGCTCACAGATTTTTATGTCTTTAAATTGGCAAATGGAAATGGTATGTGTAGAGTACTTTAAGATGTCTCCTAGCGGTCTTCAAGTATGTAATGTTTTACATTGTAATAATGAACTACAGACCATGGTGTGGTACCATAGCTATCTTAAATGTCACTGGTTTGTTTTGTTTGTGGTTTTTATGCAGCTTTTTTCCTGGTCTGACTTCATTATTACTTACGATGGATGACTAGCTGGTGAGTGTGGGTGTGGAGTTGAGACACGGGAGGAGAAGCTGGTGAGGTGGCCACCTGGGAGGCTGAGGCAGAAGGATCACAAGTTCAAGCCCAGCTGGGCAACTTAGTGACTTAGCAAGACTATCTTAAAGTAGGATCTTACTGTGTAGCCCGGGTTGGCCTTGAACTTGCAGCAATCTTCCTGCCTCAGCTTCTCCAGTACTAGGATCACAGTTGTGCACCACCATGTCTGACAGAAGCATCTTTAAAAAGACTGGGGTTCAATCACTAGTGTGGAGCAAAGAGGGGGCTGTGGGCAGCTTAACTGAGGAGGAGACGATTTGGCTTAGAGCATTTGTATCTGGAGTTCGTGTGCTCCATTCCAGAGAGTCCTCTGCAAGACGTGGCAGGGGTGAGGAGTGGTGCACGTGGGGCCCCAGTGAGGACAGAGAGGCCGAGGGAGGGCGGTCTGTCCTACTGTGTGCCCCGTTGCTGAGTGTGCAGGTTGGGAAGCTGCCTGGAAGAGCAGGGGCAAAAACGCCTGGTCGCAGGAATCTGCATTCCGTTTTGCGTGACCGTGCTGCGGTCAGAACGTGTACACTAGGAAAATGAGATGTTCTGTCTGTGTGCAGAAATGTGGCTTTCCCCCGGAAAGGCAGACTTGTTTATTCATTCAGCAGATCTGCCAGGTGCTGCAGATACGGTTGAGTAAAACAACAAAATATCCACCTTGTGGAACTTAACTGCTTAATGAGGAGGAAAACAAATAAGTACCATGTAATTTTTCTGTGTGCAAGCCACAGAGAAGGATAAAGGGCAGGAGGGCAGGACTCTCAGATACCATGTGCTCTAAATGTAGAGCAGGCTGAAAGGCCCACGGGTCTGCTCGTGTAGCTCATCTGAATTGGAGTAAAATAACAGAGCCAGTTTGGTACATTTTTAAGTTCAGTGGTTGGAAATAAGATCTAGAGCATGAAATATAAAATACATAAAAGATTTTTCATTCTTTGCCTGATTTTTATGGCCATAAATGTATCGGCAAATGTGTCAGTAAATATCTGAAATTCTATAGATGTGATTGAAATTTTTGTGGTTTTGGGAAAAATAGTGTGCTGTTCAGGCCGACAGACCCAGCCACACGAGTCACTCTTTGGAGAGATGCTGCTTACACTTCATTTACATGAGGGCTTAAGATTGGGAACTCTGCCGAATGTTTGGTATAAGAAGCGGATCGCCCCTGTGGCGTGGCCACTACTTTATGTGAAAGAGAAGTTTATACCATTGTGACTAGCAAACTAGCAAAGCATTGAGCCAGAGAATGCTTTCTCCAGAAGTTCACCGGGGCAGAGAGAGTCTTAGATTTCATGGAATTCCAAACATTTCCAGAGCACCCTGGGTAGGAGCTGTGAGCAGGCTAGGACAGCCAGCCAAGGCCTGCTAGGCAGATCTTGCAGAAGAAGCCCAGTTTAAAGCAGTAACGAGGAAAAGGAAAACACAGGGTTGTCCTGGATTTCTCAGCAAAAAGAAAATCTAAGATTGAGACATGGTTATCTTCTCTGAGAGCAACCTGAAAACTACAGAGTTCTTAGGAAATTTGGTCAATGGTAAAGTATTTTTAGTTAACCTAATTTGATATTCCCAAGACTTCCTTGGGCAAATGGTCTTTAGAAAGGTACATGAGCAGTCTTTTGTTCGGGGTTCGTTGTGTGGAGAATGTTCTTGGTTGTGCTGCTACGAGGCATTGGTCTTTGTTACACTGTATATCTTGCATATTACATAAAGCATTTAAAATATATATATTTACCTGTCTTTCCAGGCTGTGTCAGGAACTCAGCTCTGGAGGACAAAACTAGTTCAAAATTAGCTCAGGCCTTCCATCTTGTTTCCTACTTTTGCTGGTGCCAGCAGTTTTCCTGCTGCATCTGGAGTCTGGGTGCCTTGCTGCCACTTACTTGCTTACTTGTGTGCTCTTCCTCCTGCTCCAGTCTGACAGTGGAGGTGCCTTTAAAGGATTTAAAGGTCTGGTCACACCTTCCGGAGGAGCAGGATTTTCTGGATTTGGCAGTGTGCCTGGAGGGAAGCCTCTGGAAGGACTGTCTAATGGCATCAGCACAGCGAGCTCCCCTGCCTTTGCCAGTGCCAGGGTGGCAGCAGAGCCCAAGCCGACCTTTGGTGAGTAAGTGCCCCTCTCTGCCACCTCTGGGTAAGCAGAGTCAGTGAAACTAACTGCTGAGATGTTTGCCTTACACTAACCCTGGTCTGGGACTAGGTGAACAAAAACAGTCACAGAAGGGATGGATCCTACAGGTAGGTAGAGCACTAGTGTTAGAGCCAAAGCAGCCCAAGGTTTGGTTCCCAGCTCTGTGACCTCGGCAAAGTTCCTAACCTTTTGGAGCCTCACACTCTCTGACTATGAAGGGAGGGTGACCTTCAGTTTGACCTAAAGGGGTTGAGATATAGCTCAGTGATACAGCGCTTGCCTAGCATGTGCAAGGTCCTGGGTTAGACCCCCAGGACTGCAAAAAAAATTAAGAGTGAAATGCAAAAAGACAGTGCTTCGTAGATCCTCTGTGAAGGCTCCTGCCCATCCATTCCTCACTGGTGCGCCAAGGGCTTTTTGGGCCCCACCGACTGCCCACTAGGCCCTCTGATGACTTGTCTCTGGGCAGAGAGCCCTCCTGGGTGAGGTTTGAACAGAATGTATTGATCGCCTGAGCCTGTTTTGAGGACGTTAGTCAGGAGCTCTTGGGATTTGCATCGAAAATCTTAGAAACAGTCCTGACTGACTAGACTGTGTTCAGCGAATTATTCTACGCATACTGTTTGATCCTTACTAAGCACTTCTGATGTGTGAGCTACTTTAATATATGCTCATCCGAACAACTTTGAGGATTTAAATTTTATACTAACCCCGTATGCTGACAGTTTTGTTTGAAATAAACATCCTTTTGAAGGAGAAGATTTAGTTTTTCAAATGCAGAGTTTTAATGTGGACATACAGTGCATGACATTCGTCACGTAACTGATAATACCAATGTAACTTCTTGCACATACTTGTTGAATTGTAGTAAAAATAGGACACAAAAAAGCAAAATCTACGAAGATAGAGTGGCATAAAAATTTGGATGGTTTAATCAAATCAGTTTCTAAATAAATAGTTCAAATTTTCATTTTCTATAGGTTCTTTGACTGCAAATGGCCCTTCTGCCTTGGTTGATAAAAAGATTCCAAATCCCAGAACTAATGGTGATGACCAGCAGCCCTCCTCCTCCGGCCTCGCTTCCAGCCAGGCCTGCCTTGGGGACGCTTACTACAAACAGCTGGCCGCCTTGAACTGCTCCGTGCGGGACTGGATAGTGCAGCACGTGGATGCGAACCCCATCTGTGATCTCACCCCTGTCTTTAAAGACTACGAGAAATACTTAGGGACTCTTGGGCAGCAGAATAAGAACTGTAATAGCAGCAGTTCTGAGAGTGAAACCAGCAGGATGATAGTTGAAACACAGCCTCCTTCCCTGTTTGGTTCAACAAAAGCACAGCAAGAGTCAACTTTTTTGTTTAATAGCAACAAAACCGAGGACACTTCTGAAAAGAAGACAGAGGCTGTATCTGAAAAGAAGCTGGACCCGGCACAAGGAGTATCGAGTGCCTCATTTAATTTCGGCAAGAAAATCGATGGCTCGGTTTTGGGTTCCACGAGCTCTGGTCCCCTGACTGCATTTTCATTTTCCCCTGGAAACTCCAATTTATTCGGCAGAGATGTCACCCAGAGTAAACCAGCTTCTTCACCATTTCCTGCTAAAACATTGGAGAGCCAAGCAGAAGGTGGCAGTAATGAATGCAAAGGTGAGTATAAACCTTGTCATGGGGAGGCAGAGACTTGATTCGGGTGGATCTGCATTCTCCTTGTGACTCCCATCATTCCTGTATGTGCCATCTTGCAGGAGGCTGGACGGTCCTTACTCATAAAGAGGGGAGGATCCAGTGTGTAGGGTCGCTGTAAGGATTGAAGTATAAAGTGGAACCAAAGATGTGCGCAGTGGTAGGATGCCGGCTTAGCATTTTTAATGCCCTTGTTCAAGCCCGGAACCACAAAAAAATCTGTGCATATATGAAGGACATAAAGACATCCGGCACAGGGGAGGAGGGGTGAAGGGAGGGCAGGGACAAGGGGAAAGAAAAAATGAGAACCAAGACCTGTCATGTCGAGGTACAAGATCCCAACAGTGAATGTAACTGTACTGTATCCCTAAAATGTACCAATAAACTCAGTTAAAGCTGGGGGAAAAAAAAGATCTAGCACAATGACTGAAAGATACCAAACCCATAGCTTTGCATATTAAAATGAAGCAAATTAGAAACTTTTTTTTTTTGAAAACTGATTTACTGAGTTTATGACTCCATTGAGTTGATTCATATGTAGGTTTGACTAAATAAAACCTCATGGTAAACTTTGGCTGTAAATTAGAGGCGGACTGTTCATAGCCACAGTTCTCCTCCAGGTCCAGATGCCCGCTTTCCGAGGGGCAGAGCTGGTGTCTGAGTGACACTCAGGCCGCAGGTGGGGCCCTTGGGCCTCACACTGCTCACAGCTCAGGTGTGAACCTGTGTCCTTGAGGACACGTAAGTGGTTAAATGTTCGCTTCTCAGCGTCACTGCGATCCCTGCCAGGGGCAGCTGCGCTTGCCAGTTTGCCACTGCGATGCCCTGCCACCCGGGGCTGGATTCCCGTCGCTGTTCCGTGTGGCCCAGTGGTCAGTATATCCTCTGGCAAGGCCCAGGCAGAGGAAGAATAGGGGCTCTCCTTTTGTTCTTCTCTGCCTCCCTAGGAAGACAAATGGAGTTCTTCTTGATCCTACAGCAGCTGTGGTGACACAGTGATGATGAGATTGAGTCCAGCCCCAGTCAGTCAGTGCGGGCTGCCCCTCAGAAGCACCTATTGCTTATCTCGTGGTGATCTTTTTTTTTTTAACAGAAATGAGCATTGGACCCAGGGCCTTCTTACTGAAATATATCTCCAATCCTTTCTTACATTTTTTCATTTTGAGACAGGGTCTCAGTAACTCATTAAGTCCCAGACAGGACTCATGTCTGCCTCAGCCTGCTAGTGCTGGGATCACAGGTGTGGGCCACCAGGCCAGCCTTGATTATCACGTTCTGTGCATTAGAATGAAGAACAAGTACCTGGACTCTCCTGGAGAGCCTAACCCCAAGATTCTGGAGCTTCGTGCCGGACCTTCTCACAAGTTAAATCTTGTAAACTAAGTCCTTTGAGATTTTCCTGCACAGAGTTGTGTTTTAATTTAGTGTTTTCTGCAACTGCCCTTCTCAAAGAAGACCGCTTGGTGTGTGTTTCAGCTGTGTCTCAGATTCTGCAGCGGGAAACAAAAGCCCTTTCGGCTCAGTCATGGTGCCCTTCCTGGAAAGGAGCCAGGGTATTCAGTCAGTAACACGAATGTTACTGACATCTGGCTTTGCTGCTTTTTCCGACACGTTTGTCCTGTAAAAAGACTGTATTTCCCCATCTTTGACCATTCTTGGTGTGGTTATTCCTGGGCATGATTATGATCAAGGGACATTTGGAGCTGAGGGTGTCATAAGCTCCCGAGAGTTTGATTTTTCCAGAGGGTAACTGGAATATAAACAGTTGAGTGTAGGCAGATTATTTTTTTGTCAGTGTCATAAGCATAGTTTTTTTTGTTGTTGTTTTTGATGTTTTAGGGCTTTCTACAAATTGGAAGTTATTTTAAAATAAGAAAGTAGTTTCCCATTAAAAATAATTCTTATTTGGGCATGGTGACACACATGTCTAATCCTAGCACCCTGGGAAGCTGAGGCAGGAGGATCGCAAATTCAAACCCAACCTGGGAAATTTAGCAACTTAGATCCTGTCTCAAAAAATAACAAGGACAGGGAACATAGCTCAATGAACGCCCCTGGGTTCAATCCCCATAACAACAATAAAAAATGATTATTTTTAACAAAATAATTAAAACCCAGTGTCCACCTCTTGCCCTAAAAAATGAAGCGTGTTTTCAGTCTTTGTATTGGCTTGTGAGGACTGTTCCAGATTGACGGGTGGGCGAGAGATAGGCAGCTTCTGCTGTTGATCTGACACTTACTGTGTTGTTCTTGTAAAAGGTGGAGATGAAGAAGAAAGTGATGAGCCGCCCAAGGTAGTGGTTACGGAAGTGAAGGAGGAAGATGCCTTCTACTCCAAAAAGTACGCGGCAGTCGGGCTGGGAGGTGTGGGCTTTGATTGTCCTCCTCTGGGCCTCCGCTGGGTGGGATGAATTCTCGGCTGGTTTGTTTTAAAACAAAGCAGTCCTGGCCGTTGTTTGCTGAGCTTCCTTCCCTCTGGCTTGAACTCTTTTCTGCTCTGAAAGTGGTTTAGAGGCGAACTTTGCATGATCTTCCCATCTCCTCCCTGCTCATCCCCCTCCCCAAAGATTATCCCGTCTGGATTTGGTTTTACTTCCGCTTTCCCCTGACGGCATCTCCGATTCCTTCCTAGAGAGCTTGTTGCCCTGTGGGTTTCCTCACAGCCAGAGTTCTTCTCGGGGTGAGCCCTCCCCGTCAAGGTGTGTGTGTGAACACCTTGTCTCCCCTGTGCTGTGAAGCCACTGTTCTGGTTTAGGGGGCAGCTTGCTTGTTTAGGTGGGGAGTTTTGTTTTTAAATAACTGTCTCTTTGAGAAACTTGAATTGCCTTCTTCTACTAAATGAGATTACTTTTTGTAAAGATGTTTGTGCTGCTTGAGAAGCTTTCCAGGATGTTGTTCCAACACAAAAATTTAGAGTAATGAACCCATAGTTCCCCGCTTAACAAATCACCACATCCCATGAAATTCCCTTGTTACTTAACTTTTGAGAACTTTTGAGGGGGCTAACAGTTAATTTTGCTTATTTTTAATTCTAGTTACATGGATGGCAAAAGAATGGCCCTGACTTTAAGACATTTCTTTTAATCAGAAGAAATGAAATGATCAGTGATACTGTTTTATTGATAACCTGAAGGATGTGTAGGATACAGGAGGCTAGGAAAACACTGCTCTAGCAGTGAGACTCCCCTGAAGAACGCCTCACAGATTTATTGCAGCACTGGAGGAGCTCAGACCTTGACGGAGTCCCGAAGAGAATGAAAGGATGAGACCGGGGAGAAGCAGTGCGTTGGAGATGTGGGACGGAAGGTCTGGCCACATCCTCCCACCCTTAGAGAACCGGCCAGCTCCGGAGCCCAGGCTGGACGAGCGGACCAGGAGATACGAGGGGCCTGGCAGAGATTTGGGCTGACTAGAAAAGATGGTTTCAGAAAATGTTCTCAAAAGTTTGACAGTCAGGAATTCAGCTCAGTGGTTCTCCTGCCTGTCTCCCAGCTCAAGGACCCGAGTTTGACCCCCAGAAACAAAAAAAAAAAAAAAAAAGTTCTACAGGATGCACACTATTCAGTTTGAAAGAATGGAGAGGAACTCTAGAATATCCAACTATATTTTCTTAACTCGGGTTTGCCCAAACCCAACACGTCTGGTTCCATACAGTTATCCTCAGCTCTCCAGAGAGATGTCCTCGCCCAACTGTAATCAGTGGTTATTAGAAAACTGTGACTTCTTGCTGAAGGCTTGATTGTATCTGTTGCTTTGCTTCACAGGTGTAAACTATTTTACAAGAAAGATAATGAATTTAAAGAGAAGGGTGTGGGCACCCTGCATTTAAAACCTACGGCAAATCAGAAGACACAGCTCTTAGTGCGGGCCGATACCAACTTAGGTGAGTGAGTACCTTTCTCTGAGGTGGTAAAAACCATCTTGGTTCCATAGTGTGTGAAGCCTCGTACCTCCCTGATGTCGCTCCTTAGAATCTTTAAGTTTACTGAAGTGTGTAATGCAAGAAATCATTCAGGACACGTGTCTTGTATTTGTTGATTATAGACTTGGTTTTGAGTACCATGAAAATACTGTATAAGAAAATGTAGGTGTATTAAAACTATAACAAAAAAGTAGCCAAAGTGATTTTCATTTTCCTTTATATTGGAAATGTGACTGACAAGATAGAGACAATCACCCAAGGGCAGTAACCATTCATAGGACCCTTTCTATTCAGCAGCAGTCATGAACGCACTGCTGCCCACCCTGTCCTGCCCTTCACTTACGTTCCAAGCCGAGAGCCGTGCAGGGGTCTCGGTTCTAAGGTGTGGTCAGGCCTTCGAGACCCACCTGGCTGTGGTACAGAAGCCGCCAGAGGGGAATCGTCCCCCCCTTACGGCCGACTAATTTGAGATGCCACCAGGACATCACTTGTCAGTGGGCTGTGCCTCTCTGACTGGTGTTGTTTCGTTGCTGACCACTTGTCCTTGTTCTTGTGGCCCATGGCACAGGTGTGGCCCACCCTTCTGAAGTGCAGGGAGCTTCACTTCTGTGCGGTTCTTGGTGATTCCTAGTTTCGATCCCTTAAGTATAAGTCACCTCAGCATTTGACATTTGCCTGTTCCGAACTCTTTACTGTTGAATTCAGGCAACATCCTGCTGAACGTCCTCGTCACACCCAGCATGCCGTGCACGCGGACAGGGAAGAACAACGTCCTGATCGTGTGTGTCCCTAACCCCCCGCTGGACGAGAAGAACGCCAGTGCCCCTGCCACCATGTTGATCCGGGTGAAAACCAGCGAGGACGCGGATGAGCTGCACAAAATTTTACTGGAGAAAAAAGAAGCCTGAACACAGTCAACCAAGGAATTGTCGCCAAGTTGCTGCTTCCCCCACCGCCCCTTAAAATGTTTTCTCCTCTTCTTTGACCTTCTAAGGACTTCTAGGTAACTTGAAACTTTCGTGAGGAAGATCAGGCCAATAAAGCCTTTCCCTGTTAAGTGTCAAAAGACTGTATTCTCCCTCTTTCGGAACTGTCTAAAGTGCAAAATACATTTGAATGAAAGATTTTGGAAGATTTTTTAATGTTCATTTGTTTATTAAACTAACCCTAAGTGATTTCTTAACGGACTGCAGTCAGGGTATCCGAGAGCTCTCCGAAGGCTGCGGCCCCGTGCGAGGCCTTCCCACCATGGTGTCCGGTGGTGGCCAGGAAGAAACTGCCTGTGTGGTTCTGCTCTGCCGTGGGCTTCCCTGATCTCTGTGACCAGCACTCTCACCAAATGAACTGTGCCGCCGCGCTGTGACAGACCTTTCGTCCTTGCGTTACTTTGTTGTTTCGTTCTGGAGCTCAGAGGTGGGCACTGGTGTGCGCCTACAGTGTGCGCTGTTAGCTTCTCCCTTGCAGACATTGGCCTTTAACCCTGTGAGCTGCTTTACTGTCGTTCAGGAACCGCCTTCTCATTTTAGAAGTGCATCGCTTGTGAAGGACTTATGGGTTTTGTAGTTTCTATTCCTGAGGTGCTGTTCTTTACCCCCTGGAGAAGGGTTTGCCAGGAATGGGTTTAAAAGCACAAATTTTGATCATTTCTAGACCGTGGACCGTAAACTTACGGAGAAAGAAAAGAGAGTGAAACCATACTTAAAAGGAATCTGCTGGTGTCATTTGTACCAGGTGGACCTTACGAACGTAAGAGCTGCACAGGAGCTTGATCACAGCTGGGGGAGTTCACGGCTCCGTGCAGCAAGTAGTAGGGAGAAGATCGTGTGGGAGTTTTGCCTTTAACTTCAGACTGCAGGGTATTCTCCACTTGCTGTCTAAAATGCCCACTTTTCAAACAGTAAGGTGTTGAGTGTATCCATCTAAAGGGAGCCATGGTTATGCAGAACGTCCATGTCACTTGCCCAGAGCTGTCAGGTGACTGACCCTGGCTTTCTGTGGGACTGGTATGTGAGAAAGATGCAAGGTTTCCCAGCTGAATTTCCAGTTCCCCAAGCACCCTTTCATGCTGGTAGCAGATGCTCTTGTCCGTACCTGTGTCTTGTCTTCAGTCTGTTGTGTATGAGACTTTAGAGTCAGGAGTGGCTGGGGGTGGTACAGGTGCTTTTTAAACTGCAGTCCTTGGGTGTAAAGTGTTGGATGGGGGGGTCCTCACGAGGAGCTCTTAGGTGGTAAGTACTTAGGTCAGGGATGGGCCAGTGTGGGTCACTGATTCTGCTCACGCTGCATGGTACTAAGCAGCTTCCGGTTCCAGGGGTTAGAAGTAGGCTCAGCATGTGACTTCGGATAAGTAAATGCGAGACAGATGTGCTTGTGGTATTACCAGATGTAGTCCACTCTTCGCTATGTTGTACAGCCTGGGGAGGCAGTGGCAGTTTTGCATTTCTCTTTTAGATTTGAGGGTGTTCATAAGTTTTTGTGACAGGTGGCTTTATAGTAAACACGTGGTTGACATTGCTAAAATAATTCTGGCCTTGCCCTGTCCACATACAGGGTTATCCAGATTTTTAAAAAATGAAGTGGAAATAAGGGGAACCAGTTTCAGAATGTTACAGTTTAGCCACAGGTTCCCATGGTACCAACCGGCATGTCAGTCACAAGCATTGCTGGGAGTACTTCGGTGCCGGTAAACGACCGTCGGTTAGCCACCCACACCTGGGGTTGATGTTGGCAGAAAGGCATGAGAAATCATGATGGTTACCCTTTTTGCTTCCCTTCCCCCTGAAAACAAGTTTGTTTTTAAATCAGTGGATATGTGTAGCTTTCTTTTTTCTAACATTCCCAGCAAATTTTTGCTGCTAAGACTCACTGTTAAAGTGAAAATTACAGGGAAAAATGTAGTATTTTCTTAAAACTTTTATGCTTTAGGAACTTGTTGGTCTCCACTTTATGTATTTGTACAGAAGAAACTGTGTGGGCTTTATTGTAAACCTCCGACTCCTCGTATGCTACCTGGGGAAAGGCAGGGCCCCCGGAGGGCTTACCTGCCCTCCACTGTGTTGGGAGCTAGTTCTAAGCCGTGGGTGATTTTATTTCAGTTTGTTTTTAACAGAATTTTAGAAATCAGGCTGTAGAATGTTTAACGTCCGTAAGTTGTGTCATATACTCAGCCTAAAGTGAGGTGTGTTTTTTTTAATTATAATTCAAATTGCATCCTCACAAATGCTGTGTCTGTAGCTTTTTGCTTTTTTCAAAATGATGTGTGCATCTCAGCCTTTTTTTGCACATTCCCATTAAGCAAAAAAATTGTTATGCTGTCTTCCTTACCAGAATTACGCACTGAAAATGTCCAGGTTTTTTTTGGGGGGGGGCTTGGTTTGGTTTTTTTAGGTTTTGCTTTTTCAGTACTGGGGATTGGACTCAGGGCCTTGTACATGGGCAAACACTCTACCACTGAGCTACATTCCCAGCCCTTTTAATTTTTTTGAGACAGGGTCTTGCCAAGTTTCCCAGGCTGGCCTTGAACTTGCAATCCTGCCTCCATTTCCCAGGCAACTGGGATTACAGGTGTGCACCACCACGCCTGGCCAACATGTCCAGTTTTTAAAGAGGCTTAGATTGTGTTTTACATGAAGGGACAAGTCTGACCATTCATGGACTGATTTTCTTCAAGAGGATTATTTTATTTTACACTTTCTGCTAAATCATATTTTTTATATGCTGCATGCCAAAAAAAGAAAAATCTACTTGTTCTGGGGTGGAAGAAGAAAAAATATTTCACCTTAATATTAAGAGTTCAAAACAAGTTTTCACAGAGAGCCTATTCTCTTAAGTAACACATCCATCCTTGAGCATTTGCTGGTTTTTCCAGTATTTACAGAGTCACAGTGCAAGGCATCTGAAGGTTTTGCACAGCGTATGGCTCACTGCACCCTGTGTGTTCTTTCTGGAGTGAGTGGGCCTGTGTGGCGCCTGGGTCGGGCTGGCGCTGGTGTCCTCACTCCTGCTCACACCTGGCCACTGTGTGCGCTTGGCCAGTAGCAGTTGTGGTCGGGGCTAAGGGCTCGCTGTTGGTGCAGACAGAACTGTGAGGGAGATGCAGAGCTGTAGCAATCAAATGGAGAATATTTGCTTTGGACTTTAAATAGGAAACTTTTCTACGACTAAAATACTTGAATTGTCAGACAGTATAATCTCAGTTTGTATTAACTTTTGAATGATCCCTTTGAGGAAGTGTAACAATCCATGAAATGTGAATAAATGGAAAGTAAACAATCAGTGTCTGACATGTTTGTGCTCCTCTGTGACGCTTTGGGTGCTAACACAGACAGGCAGACTGCAGGAAGTCAGCAGCTGCACCCGACTGGCTGTCACCTCCCTCTGTGCAGGATGAGCCCCTTCAGATGTGGTCAGAGTGGGACGAGGAGCCCCTGCCCACCCGGGAGCACAGCGTGGTGTGAGCCGAGGGTGAGTCCTGCTCTAGAGAACGGAACCTGGATTTGTGGCTCAGGTCTTGGGCAAAAAGTAAGCTCTCTTAAGGACTTTTTAAAATTAAGAAAATAAAATATGATCAAGAAAGACACATTATTCTGAGTATGTAATTTAAAAATCTTTGATACTTTAGAAAATTACCATTAAGAAATTAACTTTCACTTCTAATCATGAATAGTGCTTTGGAGTCATGGTCATACTTTTTGAATGTTCTGAACAGTTACTGTCTGATGGGAGCTCATGAATGACTTGAAGGGGCACTTCCTGGGGCAGACCTGGTGGCCCGCAGACTGGCAGCACCAAAAAACTGAAAGAAATGCAGAGCCTTCTTGGTCCCAGACTGGCCTGAAACTCATGATTCGCCCTTGCCTCAGCATCCTGGATTACAAGTGTGTGCAGCCACTGTTTTAAAAATCGAGATAGAATTCACATAAAATTAACCCTTTTAAAGTATTTAATAAATAGTGTGGGGTATTTTTTCTTTTTGTTTGATTTTGGGGACGGGTACCAGGGATTGAACTCAGGTCCTTGCGCTTGCAAGGCAGGCCACCGAACAGCTGAGCTAAATCCCCGGCCCTTGTTTGATTTTTTGTTGTTGTTGTGTTTTTTTATTTTTTTGAGGTACTGGGGATTGAATCCAGAATCCTCACACTTAATTCCCTACCCAGCCCATTTAACATTTTTTAAAATTTTGAGACAGAATCTCAGTAAGTCATTAAGCTGCCCATGGTGAGCTTGAATTTAAGATCCTCCTGCCTCAGCCTCCCCCAGAGTGCTGGGATTACAGGAGAGTGCCACCATGCCTGGCTTGTTTATTTTGAGATACTGTGGATTTAATGCAGAACCTGGTGCACACAAGGCAAGTGCTCAACCAGAGAGCTAAATGCCAGCCCAGCTACCCATGTTTTCAGTGCACTCATTTGTACAGCCATGTCACTAATTCCAGAGTATGTTATTCGGTGGCCACTGGGTTTGAACTGGTGGCTCAGGCTTGGTGAGTCAGAATCACAGGCGTGAGCTCCCTCCCAGTGACCTGGGCCCAGAGACAGCTCAAGGGCCTTCTGCCACACCCTGGGGGGCAATGTGCCACCTTGGTGTCACTGCCCCAGGGAGGTGAACGGTGCCCCCCCCCCCGTGAGCCAGGCCCTGCTTTCCCAGTGACGTAGCTTATGGCAGTTGGTGCCTGACTCACCGGATCTCCCCAGCAAGCCCTTGAAAAGCTAGATGTGCCCATTCAGTGACTGAACCAGTTTCTGGAATTGGCTAGTCTTAAGCAAAACTGTTTATTGAAAATATAATCAAATTCACTAAAAACCATAGTTATTTCAAACCGAGCAACCTAACTGTTTTATTAAAGTCGGAAGCCAAGATGAGAATGACCCCTCTTGCACACACATACAGAAGGACAAGCAGCCTCTGCCTGTGAGAGGCTGCTCAGGACAATTAATTCAGTGAAGCGATCCAGGACAAGACAGCCTTTCTCTCCTCACCCTCAGAAACGGGTATTTTCCCTTTCTCAGCATCCCAGCTGCAAAGCCAGCTTGGGGACGCAGCAAGCCCTGTCCCTGGGTGCGCGAGTCACTCCGCTGCTCTCCCAGGACTGGATCCTGCAGGCTCCCAGTGAGTGTTTCCTCCCGGCTGGGGCCTGAGGGTCACTGAATGGGCCTTTGGGGGCTGGTGAGTAACGGGGATTCTTCAGGGCCCTCCCAAGGCCTCTCTCCCCACACCCCTATTGCAGATGTTTTGGGTGCCGGTTCTGTATCGACTTCCGGATTCTTGAATAAGAACGGAGTTTGTCTGGGTGGAAGGGAGACTTGTTTGCCTGCTGAGTCTAACTTTATCCTACGTGTGAGTCACTCACAGGCTTCCTTCCCGTCCCTTACCTCTCAGAGTTGTAGGCCTTACTTTCGCCTATCACCTGGGACACAGGAGGTCCTCCAGCTGTTCACAAAACTCACTGTGCGAAGGTGGCTCTGAGGCTGTGTCTACCTATGATGAACTCACAACAGCTGACTCTGGGGCCTGAGCCGGAAAACACACTCGCTGGACATCTCCATAGTGCACCAGGGCCTGGCAACAGAGACCACGTGATTGAAAGGGTCGAAGGCAAGGGAGCGTACGTGCCGAGTTGCCCATCCCAAATTCAAGTTTCAGCCTCTAGCTCAGGCATTTTCCCACTTCTACAAGAGTTTTAAAATGTTCCCTAGAAAAAGCTTGGGATATTTTATAGTGCAACAGCCAGGGTGTATGCGACCATGGCGGCTGAGGGCCACACCTAGAATGCATCCTGTGATGACACTGTCCCCGGCGGACTCCTCGGGAGCACAGTGATTCCTACCGGCCCCCATTCATCCAGATTCCAAGCAGTACCCTATGTGAAAGCTGCAAGGAGATTCAAGGATTCTGGGGCGAATTAAGATTCACTCATTAAACTATCCCTTTGCTGCAGTGTTTGTAATGAACCTGAAGCGCATATTACAGAAAAAAATAGGTACAGATGGGAATCCGAAGAAAACAAAGTTTAATACCTAACATGCAAATCAACTTTGCAAAGAAACGTGAAATCACCAAGCAAAGCTAGCAGCCAGCCACAAATCCTGCCTACAGATGGTCTCTACTGGATGTGAAGGTGTGGGTGAAATGGAAATAGCACTATCATGAGCTCACTACTGTATCCAACAGATGCTACCCTGGTGCTTTTGCTAAAATATATTTTGTAGAAATCATGAGTTAAGCCTAAAGTAGAAAAAAAAAAAAAAAGAAAAGAAAATCCCAGTGCTTGCTTTGCAGATTTAATTACTCGCACACATGCAGTTCACCTGGAAACTGTAAAAGATTACTATTTACATCTCAACTTCCTGACCTACAGAGTGGGAGCCTGGAGTGAAACAAAGGCAAGGAAGGAGGAAGGATTGCAACAGAGCCACAAGAGCGCCGTTATTTCTCATCAACTGGGCTCAAGGCCTGGAATCGTTCATCAAAAGGCCAAATGGCCTTAGGAGTAACCGCAAATTGTAAACACAAGCTCTCCACACAATCTGTGCCTCCCTCCAGGTCCAGGGTGCCTCCCGTGTGGAGCCCTGACCCAGCCCCAGGTCACGAGGTGTCACCTGGCTTCTGTGTGCTGCTATCTGTGGGTCCCAGGGGACTCCTCCTCCACAGAGGACCTTGTCAGTGAGAGGGCAGAGAAAAGAGCCAGAGGGCACCCCCCCCACTCCCAGCAGGACCCAGTGGCCTGAGTCCACTGGGCCTAAGCAACTGCCCTTTGATGGCCGCAGCAGCGTCTGCACAGACTGCTTCCACCCACATTCGAGGGCTTGGGCACTGTCACATCTCTTAAGAGTCCCTGTCCTGTTCAGACAAAATTCTGCTTTCTCACCCCAGGACAAGAGCAAGCCTGGATAGGGACAGCCAACATACCGTCAAGACATGTTTCTGAAACTGAGTATGAAACCAGACGTCAGCTGACCTGGAAAACGGAATACAGAGCACCGAAACCTACCAGACTCAGCAAGTTGGCTTTTTTCTCTTTTTTGGTGGTATTGGAGTTTGGACCTAGGGCCTTCACACTGAGCTTCATTACCAGCCTTTGTTTTCCATTTTTGTTAAACAAAGGCCTCACTAAGTTGCCCAAGCAGGACTCAAACTTGAGTCCTCCTACCTCAGCCACCCAAGTGCTGGGATCACAGGAGTGCACCACGACACGTGGAAAGTTAGAAGATTTTTTACTGTAAAAGGCTTTAAAGAATTTTGGTCTACAATTTCAGTCATTAGAATATACCAACTGCATAAGGACTAGAATGTCTTTGAACAGCAACAACACAAAAAAGCAAAACAGTTTTTACTTTAAAGTCTCCTACTAACTAGTCTATGTGTGATTATGACAGCAAAAAGTAGATCCAGGTTTTGTTCTAAATGGAAGTGGGTTTCTGAGGGGAAAACACACACACATAGGAACATGGCCTGGTGTTCTTACTCTGGTTTCTCCCTGTTGGCAGAAGCCTGGTCCCTAATGGCTCACGGTCCCTCGAGTGTCTAATCCTGACACTGACTCCCCTCACTGCCACACAGGCTGGGCTAGACAATGCTTTGCTTCTGTTTTCTCTTGACTACTTTGCTATTTGTGTTTTAAATGATAGTCTTTTTTAAAAAAAACAAAAATGAACCTTCTCTGCTTTTATGGAACTAAAAGTTA